TTTTCTTGGCTAGTGAGTGACTGAAACAGACATTGCTGTGCACACAAATCCAGTGCAAGCTCCTGCTGGGAAGACAGTCATCAGCCAGGTGGGGAAGTGTCAGCCAAGGCTGCTCCCTGGCACAGTCCGATGCTTGAAACTGATAATGTGCTGTCTTCTGGCTTTCACCTTTTTCTAAGGGCATTTTACCTCGACATGTTGGTATATTATTGAGTTACTACAACCAATTCTAAAATTTTGCTGTTGTAGAATTAAGTGAAGTTTAATTCTCTGAACATATTTATTTGACACTCTTTCAAGATCCTTAAAAATATTTTAGAAATTCCATAGGCATACACCAGAATTTCACATTGTTTATTATTTGTTTACATCCTTTGATGAATGTGAGAAAATGCTATTTTAAAGCTGATTGAAAGACAATTTTATTTATTTATTTTTGTCTAGTCCCTTGAGTAATCATTCCTGACAAACCCCCCGCCCGCTGTGATTGACACAACCCAGAGCTGTCTCATGGGTTGTGATGGACTGTTTTCTTAAAGGTGCAGATCCATTCTAGAATGAAAGGAATTGATGAATTATTTTGTAGGTACCTTTTTTGCATATATCCTCAGAAAATATATTTTGGGCATAATTTCTGTTGCTGTGTCTTGCACTTCTTTGAACAATGTTATACTTTTTTTTTGTTTGTTTTCTTGCTTGTAAAAAGTACAGGTAAATGTGAAAAAAAAAAAAAAAAAGAAAAGCTATGTAAAAAAGAAGGACCATAGATTAAACTTGTGTGGGCCAGAGGGATATGTAGGAAAACAAGTATCTAAATATGAGTACAATGAAAATTGATAGTGAGGTATGTATTTATTGTATAAATTCTGTGACTAAAGTTAGTTTTTCTGATGAATACAGGTTGAATAACACTTTATCAATAATTAGGAAATACCTTGATGCCAGTATTTTGACATACTATATTGCAGTCTCAAGAGAGGAAATGTTAAGGTCATATTTGACGCATCACTGTGTATGTTCAAGGACAACATTTATGATTCTGGTTGACCATTTCAAACTGTGTTTCTGACAGCTTGGCATTAATGCAGGCTATGTGTCACAAATAGCTGAGGCAGTGCTGTGAAGTTACAACCATCTGGAGCTTTCTGATTTTATTTATTTATTTTTTCAAACTGGCAGCCTTGTTGTCCTTCTTTGAGAATTTAATATGGTTTTCATTACCTGTTCTCAATTAAGATGAATAACTGTAGCAGGATTTTTCTTTCCACTCTCCTTGCCATGACGTCTCTGGACAATCATCAAACATTGCTGTACTCTTTTGTGCTTCTGATGCCAACTGGGCAGAGTGCTCAAGAGCAAAGCTGTTCTTTCTGCAATTAACCAGCAGAGACAGAACAAACACTTAACACAGTCATATCAGAAGTGGAGTGGTGGCAGGATTCTTGGGTCAGATATTTGATCATTTATAGCTATAAAATGTGATCAAGTCACACTTGCTTTTTGTCGTGTTTGCCTTGTGCATGCAGTAGCAGCCCTACAAACTACAAGGCAGTTGAGAAGCAGGGCCTTATATCTCATAGCTGGGGCAACACCATTGATTCTCTGTAAATGCTTCAGTACCAACCATCTGACATCATTTAGTGAGACATGATTCTCTTGATGCTGGTTTTAATTAACTGTCATTTGCTTGTACCATTAGATTTCTCTACTAGGCATTTCATGACATCTTCATGAAAGATGTCATGAAGTAGAATCATAGAACCATAGAATTATTTATGTTGGAAAAGATCTCTAACATCATCTAGTCCAACCTTTAACCTAGCACTACCAAGTCCACCGCTAAACCATACCATTAAGTTCTACATCTACGTGTTTTTTGAAGACCTCCAGGGATGGTGACTCAGCTACTTCCCTGGGCTGCCTGTTCCAATACATCACGACCCTTTCAGTGAAGAATTGTTTCCTAATCCAACCTAAACCTCCCCTGGTGCAACTTGAGGCCATTTTCTCGTCTTATCTCTTGGTGCTTGGAAGAAGAGAGGGATCCTCACCTCACTATAGCTTTCTTTAAGGTAATTGTAGAGTGTGATAAGGTCTCCCCTGAGTCTATTCTCCAGGATAAGTAATCCCAGCTCTCCCTCATGCACTCCTTATAAGCCTTGTTCTCTAGACCCTTCACCAGCTTCACAGTATTCAAGATGAGGCCTCACCAGAGCCAACTACAGAGGGATAATCACTTTCCTAGTCCTTCTGGCCACAATATTTCTGATAAAAAAATCCATGATGTCCTTGACCCTCTTGGCCACCTGAGCACACTGCTGGCTCATGCTCAGCTGGCTATTGACCAATATCCCCAGGTCCCTTTTTGCAGGGCAGTTTTCCAGACACTAAGACAGAAATCTCCACTCGCAGCTGGTCTGGGTGCCATTATGTTATGTCCCTATTTTGGCAGTGATAACAATCATTTATTAAGGCAAAAATCTAAGCATGCTTTTTCTGTTTTCTGTAAGAGAGGGTTCAAAATTGTACCACAACTTCTTCTCTACTTAAAAAGAGAGAGAGAGAAAGAGAATAAAAATTATTAGCTTTTTAATGCTTTCTCATTGGGATTTAAACATCCTTCTGTTGTTTCATTGTGCCTCTGAATCAGATGGAAAGAGACGCTATTTGGCAAGTTTCACAGTTGATTAACAAGTGCCTTCTAGCACTGAGCAGCACAAGAGGGTCGTATTTCTCCATGTAATGTTTCCTGAATTGCAGGAGCAGGGGGATTTCCAGAGTAACTCTGAGGACTGAGTTTGCTCAGCTAGTGCATGGACTATGTGACAGGGTAAGGCAGACCACCAGCCCAGACATGCCAGGGGCATTTCCCATAACCTCAGCTCTGCATCTAAGCCCTGACAAGCCTAGACTTCCCTATTGTATAGTACTCGGCTGTTTTATTAAAGTCCTATTTAATGGACACATAGTCAAGGGAACTGGTGATGAAGAAAACTGTCCCTTTACTTCTTCTCTTTAACTTCATCTACCTTCTTTTTCTGCTCCCCTTGAGTAGCCACAGGGCTTCTCCTGTGTGAGAGGCTGTAAGATTGTGCTGTGAATACAAATGTTGACAATTTGTGCAAAAGGGAAAGGAGCTGTGGGGTAATGAGTAAAGGGTAAATGCAGAAGGCTAAAATCATCTCCCTCACATCCCAGCCTAGTGAATCTGTACCTGCAGAGCCCAGTTAGCAAGGGGACAGCAGGATATCTGGACTAGATTGAACTCCCTCCTGCCTCAGCCCAAGCCTTGGCTGTTTTACTATTGCACAAATCTCCAAAACAATTATATCCCTAGCATGTGCATACTGTACAAACATTTTATAAGACAGTGAATTTTGCCAACAGAGACATAAATGCAAATTCAAAATGGAGACAAAAGATGAGAAGAATATTAGCAGTCCATTTTGAGCAAGGAGAAGATGAAAACTGCAGGTGAAACACCTGATATTTTTCAGAAGTATTTACACCTGTGAGAAACACTCCATAGCCAATAACAGGCTCAGGGGAGGATCTCAGTGAAGTAGTAATTTATTCACAGTTGCAATGGCAGGCACCCCACAAGCAGAAGAACACACCTACTAGTTCCAAAACACAGTTTATATACCTTTTGATGACAGGACCCTCCCCTGTTTCCCTACTGAGTGGGTAATCCAGCTTCACAATCTATCTGATGCTTCACAAACAATGCATGGCCTTCAGTTGCCGTCCTGTTAAATTTCAGATTTATTTTGACGTTTTTACTGCTTAAAGTGGTAATGTTTCTTCACTTATCTGACTTGACTTAACACCGTGATTTTCACCTAATTGTTCTAAGGAGTCTGATTTTACAATGTCACCTGCTAAGCTTTCTTATCACTGTAAGCATACCTCAATGCCACATTCCTTTCCTCTAAACAATGTAACTCTGCAAAAACAACATTTCTACTCCCACACACCCAAAGCTCCTGTTTGATGACTCAGTTTTGGGAGTGTTCAAGAAAAGGTTGGACCTGGTGCTTAGGGGCATGGTTTAGTGGGTAATCCTGGTGGTAGGGTGATGGGTAGGACCAGATGATCTTGAAGGTCATTTCCAACCTTTATGATTCTATGATTCTATGATTTCAGGCCATTTGACTTTTACAGGTGAGCTGAAGATTAAACTGTGCATTTTTTTTTGTCTGCCTGAAGCATTTCTAGCTATTTGTCTTAAATAATTTTATGGAGGTTTGAAATCTCAATGTCTAATGATCAAGGTTTACCACTGATGAAAGTTTGATGATTTTAATCAATTTGTGATACTCCCTGTCATGCAACTGGGTAATTATGAAAAAGAGAATGATTCAGATTTTCTCTTGTTATTGTTGTTGTTTTCTCCAGTAATTTCTTTGTTTTATATCATCACTTCTCAGTTTTTAATGTGGAGAGGAGAGAACAAAAATGGCTAAAACAAATTTTCCATGTTTTGGAATTTTGACCAGGAAAAGGTAGGCAAGAGCATCTAATCAATATTGAAAGTTAGCATCTCTTCCTTTTCTCTTCCTTTTCTCTTCCTTTTCTCTTCCTTTTCTCTTCCTTTTCTCTTCCTTTTCTCTTCCTTTTCTCTTCCTTTTCTCTTCCTTTTCTCTTCCTTTTCTCTTCCTTTTCTCTTCTCTTTCCAGTGGAAAGAATGAGGAAGTAAACTAAGAATATTTGTGTAGTTCTTGGCATATGTGTGCAAAGACTGTGTTTCTCTTTCTGTACCCTTTCAAATGAGGTTATGTCTGTATTGTAACTTGGTAACAGTGGAATTCTTCTGAGCTGGAACCATTGGTGTTATTGCAAACCTTAAAAAGAACCTAAATTCTGAAAGCTATTCCATTTTCAATGCATGGTAAATCTATCTTTTATCTTTGCTTTCTCCTATTCCTGTTACTCAGGCAGCCAGGTGTTAGCATAGCCACAGATCTTAGTCTGGGGAGAATGTTGGAAACTGCTGGTGACTTTGAAGTAGTGGCAGCTCTGTAGGTTTGCTGTACCTCTGCCTCAACTACATGTAAGGCTGGCTTCCCTAATAGGACTTGAGCTGGGACCTTAAGTTCAAAAGAATTAACCTTTGCTCACAGCATGAGAGAAATGATAGTTACACATTCACTTTTGTGCCTCTGGCTAGTATGGAGTCCATCTCGGTATTGATGTCAGGTAGGTTTTTGTGTGGTGATAGACTTGAAGTGTTAGCTTTAAGACATCTGGCAGAAAATAAAGATTAAGCAATGCTTCTGAAGAAAATTCAGTAGTTGCTTTTGAACAGATAACCTGGCTTCTGGTATCCCAGTGGAGATGTGATAGTTATGTAGGCTGAGATAGGCTGAGAGGGGAAGAGAACTGAGGCTTTTTATCTCTGCAACTGTGAAGTCTTTGCAATCTTTTGAAGAAATTGTCTCCTTTCTGAGTCCCTGAGAGGAGGTTGCTATTGTGGGATTCTCCTTATGTCATAAGATAAAGCTGCTTCTCGTTTTTATGACATCCTAACTCTCCATCCAGCTGAGGTGCCTTTCAACTGCTACAGAACATGTCTAAGTTGTCAACTATGCCTCAGACAGCCATTTTGTTTTCTGCAATAATATATATATTTAAAAAAAAAAAAAAATTCTCATATTTTGTGACATTTTTATTTGAAAGTTTAAAAGTGTTTTGTTTCTCAGTGCTTATCCAAATAACAGAATAAAAGACATGCAAGATGGCCCTGGAATAGGATTGTAAGGATTGTAGTCAAAACAGTACCATATCTATATTTACATAATGCAGAATAGCTGGGACAAGGTTATCCTGTTCTTAGACTTCATCTAACATATCTACATGGCACTCTGTGCTCACGGGCTTTTGCTCAGGTACAGCTTAGGATATTTCTTATAAAAACTTCTAGATGTTGATATGCACATAATTACTTGTAGGGGGGTTGCAATATCTTTATGGGCAAAGGACAGGTTTCAGAGGTTTTCGGAGGGTTTCAGATAGTAGGGCTTCACTTAAGTATTTCTGATGAAGGGTACCCAGACTGCAAACAGGTGTTGATCAGAGGCAGGGCCAGGCATGGAAGAATTAAGCTTGACCAAGGTGACATTTTTGTATTCAATACTGCTAATTTAAAAAGATATATTCTGAGTTTCACCAGAAGTCAGAGGGACCAAGACACCTAACTGTCTTTTAAGTATGTGACTCAGACTTCTAAGTTATTTATGCACATTTAAAAACATTTATCATTTGTAAATCACTTGAAGTCTATGGCTGTGCTTATTGTCTAAGGTAGATTATCTGTGGAAAGAACCTACTGATGAATCTTCCTTTATTTTTGCTTGTTAAAATGTATTTAACCTTGATCAGAGATAGACAAAAGGTCTTTATTAATTCTGACCAAGAAGTGCTTTTTCTGACAATAATTTATATCAATCTAATGAGATAAATCCACTGCTTTCACTATTTCAAGAAGTCAAAATAATAATCACCAACTTCAGTGAGATTTAACATGTATTGGCTTAAATTCATTAGTTCCCTCTTTCTCTACAAAGTACTTTCCCTAAAGTACACTTGTCAAAGGTCTAAAAGAGCAATTAAATAGCAGATCTCTAGAACTTAATGAAGAAATGGTTTTCTAATAGTGCCTTCTGGAAAGAAACACCAATTCCAGCTTAAATGACTACAAACATTTGATACAACTATTTTTTTCTTGAGATAGTGGATTTGTCTCACTAGATTGGTATACATCATTGTTGACAAAAACACTTTTTAGTCAAGATTAATTCTATCTATGTAGATTTGCTCATATAGCTGTGCTGGCAGACCTTAAGTAGATTACACTAAAAACATGGTCCTTGGCAACAAGCAAAGCTAATGTTGAAGGAGTCAGCTCATGAGCAAAAAGAGTTCTAGAAACATGCTTTTGATTCTGCAGTCTTTTTCTCCTGCTGTTGCCAGAGCAGGGTCATTACACTTGAACGTTTTCTACAATTCTACTAGTAGTGAGATTGCTAGAGTAGCCTGAAATCAGTTATACCAATATTGTCATAGATTTATTTAGGCTTTGTATCACCTGTGTATTTAATCAAGGCTAAGTATTGCTGGGGAGAAGGGCTGTTCCCCGCCTCCTTTCCCCCTCCCTCCCTTTTTTTTCCCTTTTTTCTTTTCAAGCCAATTCTCTGAATGGTATCAGAATTATGTACTTCCATCAACATAAGATGGTGCAGTCTATTTTTGCAGTAATGAGTCCATATAGTCACAAGAAAAAGTAAAATTTTTAAAATACTTAAGAGATGCTCAAATTATTGATAATGATAGTATGTGTGTCATTTCTATGTGCCATGAAATAACACCTCCTTTCTGTGGCAAATATGGATTTTTGGTATCATTATTGTGAGTTAAAGAGCTTCTGAGTGAAAGTGTACATACTTTCAAATGCAAATGTATGTGTACTGGGGAAAATTATACAGCTTGATCTCTTCTACCATCGCAATACCTTGCACATTTGGAAATGTGAAGTAATAGTAGAAATTTTCTCATGAAATCATAATGTTGTCGCATTCAAAAAAAAAAATACAGCAGAAGGATAGGGGTTCCTGTCAAGTTCTCCATCACTTTCAGAAGTGATTTTTTCCCTCTGTGATAACTTTGTGAGTTTATGGAGTAATAAAACCAGTTATCTCATTTATATTGTGCTAGGAATGTTTGTGCCCATTATGGTCTTCGAATGGCACTGCTACAATGACTGTACTGCTTCCCTCAGTTTGAATCTGGTTTGTCATTCCTGCTGGAAGTGTATTAGTTTCTCCCATTACCCATGGATGACTGAGATTATGGGCAGTACCTGTTATATTCTCCCACACTGAAGCCTATTAAACAAGCATTTAATCCACAGATTTTGGGTACAATGTGCTGTAACAGCTCCAATGGGGCCCTTTGGGTATATACTGACAATGCCTACTTGGGGAGCCATTAGGTTCTTTCATATTAATGTTATGCACTGTAGTGGTTCCTTGGGTGAAGTTAGTGCATGTTATGTTAATGTGAACTTAGGAATTCTTTAATTGACTGATGCAGGAGAATGATTACTTAGCATACTGAATATCTAGATGCAGCTTGATTACGCACATGCACAGTATTATCATTTATAAGGTATTAAGTTGTTTATATTTGTAAGTATATATATGTTTACATACATACATATATATATCTATATCAAGCTGAAAGATGGATCAGTGACTTGGTTTATTACTTCAAGACTTGTGTCTTTTTATATCTTTTTCAAAAGTGCAACTGAACTGATGCAAGCTTCTTGCTTTCAGAGCAGGACATATCTGTTTCCATTTATCCCCTCTCCTAAGAGTTCCTGCAAATGTTCTTGTGCTTACTCTGACTTCTGTCTGATTTCTCAGTAATACTTGCCTGATCATGTTGAAATAGTATGCTATTTACTCTGCACTACTCATATGACTCACTGGTTGATCACTTTTTTTTTTGTTTTTATTTTGGCTTGAATTTATTATTTTTTTATGCTACAAAACAGCACTGAATAAATGATTTCCCCTGATGATCTTTCCCTAGTTAGCAGGCATCTCACATCCATGATCCATTTCCTTCTTTTCCCATTTCAGTATAATTTCTATCTGCCCTTCTCTGACTTTGGTCTTCCTTATTTCCTGCCTATTATTTTTCTAGCTACTTTTCTGAGACTCAGGGGAAAGACATCATCTCCTCTTCTGTGTCACAGTACTGTCTGCTTTCTTGAAGTGTGTTGAAGTCCCTCCCCAAATAATCTAGATCCCTGAAGCATCTGATTATTATGATTATGCATTTGTCCTGACCTAGTCTCTATTTCATTCATTTCCCACACTGATGATTCCCCTCCTGTCCCTCGAAAATATAGGCTGCACAGCTCTATGAGGATGGAAAAGGGTTTTTTTCTTTTTTTCACAACTTCAGTAATGAGTACTAAAGAACAGTATAGTGTGTCTTTGCAACAAAACATGAAAATTAAACACATTTCTTTCCAGTTTTCATTTTTCCTCCTCTCCCCTTTCAGCCCTCCCTCATTCCCTTTTCAATCAGACTTATAACAGGTCCAACACAAACCTGTATCTCTTCTGGGTTTAAATGTTCTTTTACATTCCCCCATTACTATTCTGTTATATTTTGATTAAAATTCTTATTTTAAAATATGAAAGTATTTAATTTATTCTTCTGTTTTCATGAATGACTATATTTTGAAATTGTGTCACAATACTTCAGGAAAGCAAGTATAACTATTTGTATTAGGGCACTGAAGGACTGTAAAATTTTAATACTTGTCAGTGAAACTTAAGGATGGCTTTTAGCGTTTTGCACAATTGAGGCAAATGGTTTAGCCAATACCAGACAACATTTAAGCCTAACACTAACTGGCTGTTAATCTGCTACCAAATAGATTTACAATGAAAATTTCTGTCTGTATGGGATGAAGCAAAAGTTGTAATATCAGAATTAACCCAAGACTGAAATTTCATTTCTAGCTTTGTTGTAGTTCAAGTCTTTTTATTCCTAGTCTGGTGATCTGTCCCTGAATATATTCCATAAAATACCCAGTCAGCTGTAAGACAAGTGCATTACGGAGGTTCCCCCTCAAGCTAATTCTTTGGATTACCAGAGTCAAGATAGGCTCTTCCTTTTCACTTCCGATCAAATTTCTTTTCCACCTTGCCCTTCTGCCTTTATATCTTCTTACTCTATCTTATTATTTTCATATGAGATTCATGAAGAACTCATAACGAAATCAGAGCAAAGATCACAGGTAAGTGAAACCCCTTGGTATTACCAGAGAAAACACTCACTGAGAAATTCGGCCTGTATTTTAAAATAATGATTAGCTTTTACTATTCAGATTGATCACTGCATTTTGTTCTTTTGAATTATGCATTAAAAAAATATATCTTGATTTATTCTTCTGTGTGTGGGACTTGAGAGGCAAATAAAACTCGTTAGCTGGCAGTATAGAGAAAAGCTCATGTAGTGAATGGAGGAGTGTGTCAGTTTCAAAGCAAGTAAATATATTTCATTTATTGTCTTATTTAAGTTAAATTGAGACAATGTTCTCAGAAAAATGGCTTGATTTTTGAGTGGTTCTGTGTGGAGCCAGGAGTTGGAGTTGTTGATCCTTGTGTGTCCATTCCAACTCAGGTTACTCTATGATTCTATGTTGTTTGTGACAACTAGTATCCAAAATGCTACGAGAGATAAGATAGATTTTTTCAGAAAATCATAATGGTTCCTATCGCAAGTAAGAACAAATTGCCAGTAGCTCTACTAACAAAAGCAAAACTGGTGTTCTGGAAGAAGAAAAAGTGAGACTCAGGCCCATTTATGCTAGTGTTAACTCTCTTCCTCAGGTCTAGGGTAAGAGAGAATAGGTTCATGTGTCAGAAAGAGCATGAGAGTAGGGAACAGCTAATATAACAGCTCTAAGTCTTGCTGCTTTTACTTTTGTGTCCCCAGTGAATGTGCTATGGGATTATGGTCCCTTGGGGAATGCTTACTGCAAATATCAGGCAGCCCGGACACATCCAAAACAGTGAGCAGTCAAAAAGACTAATTTTCTCTCATTGAAAACAATCTTCTCTTCCAAAACCAAGTTCCTTTCTCTTTTTGAAAATTAATGGAAATTAGAAACTTGAACTTCAGCAGGTGTGAATTAAAAGACAGCTGGTGATAACTGGCACTTGGGGGCTGACCTTGGGTCTTTGTGTAACAGCATAAATATGAAGGATCCGTGTTCCTGTATGGATAGCTTGGCAGTACTCCAAAGGAACCCATGCATACTACAAATATGGAGAAGCATAGTATCAAGATTTGTACCAGTCAGACAATCCAAATAATTTAGTAAGGAAGAGATTTAATTTAATTCTATTTATGCATTAGAGTGGTGACTCCCTCATGATCTACAGGGACATGAATACACACACAAAAAATCAAAGGCAATGTCTGCTATTCACAAGTTCTTTTGTGAACAGAAAAGACCCTGAGTTGTTCTCAAATGCTTAAATAAGGTTGATGGCTAGCTTGAGGCACAAGACACTATAAACAAAATCATGAATTTGCCTTTAGTTTAATCTGAGCATGAACTTGCTATCCACCCTAGAAGCTGTACAAGATACTGAGAAAAGATAAAATATAAGAGAATGGGAAATGTCTGTGCCTTAATCTTAATGAAGAATCTTTTGTAAGGATATCAATGCATTTTATTCTCTCTAGTTCACTAAGCAGAAACTTCTTATGTCAGTCAGTGAGGGGACTTTATCTAAAACTTGTTAGCTAAAGTCACATTTTGTAGTGCAGGTGCAAAGTACAGAAGGACTCCAAGACTTGAAGACCTAGTCTAATTGATTTTAAATACTCAAAGTTGGTTAGTGCACAATAATCAGAACTAGAGCAAAAGTACACCATGAATAAAACTCATATGGCTAAAAAAGAACATTTTACCTCTTTCTACCTACAGTTTCTTTAGTTGAATACACATTTGTATATATTTACATTAACAAATTTCTTTATGCAGTTTTTGAGCAATTTTGAGTATTACAAAATGTATATATGATTTTGGTATTAAAATAATGGTCTCTCACGCACAAAAATCCCAAAGAAGCAGTTTCTGGAAACATAAAATCTACCTGGATTTAAATAAATAAATAAATAAATAAATAAATAAATAAAGGTCCTATTCCAAGTACCATTTAGTATGTGCTTGGAACAACTAACTCATTTTGAGTTGTCAGTTTCATCTGTACCATCCCAAAACAACTTATTCTGGCTGTGAGAATTTATAGAAATAAATATCAACACAGCAATTCAGGAACTCGAAGTAAAAACATATCTTGTAAATTATGGAATAAAACAGTCTTTATAAAAGCAGAGCTGTTTAAAAGACAGCTATGGAAAATTTGATAGTATGTGACACTGTCAGCTGTGATGGGAAAGAAATCTCTAGGAAGGTAAACCAGAAATGAGTGATATCCCTGGCATGCCCTCATTCTCAATGAGAGGATGCATAGCTTTAAAAATTACATGGCTTGAAGTGATGAAGAGAATCAAACAGTTAATAGTATAATATAAAATATAAATTTAATAAAATGTGTGCTTCTCTTTGATCTGGTAAAGTTTACATAGAATTAAAATCACAGTATTTCAGATAAAAACAACGACGAAAAAAATACAAGCTCTTTCATTTTTGTAATAAGACCCATTCTGTGACATCCTGGCTTTAATATTTACACCTGTCCTCTCTCTTTCTTCACACAGACACAGAAGACGTGGTACATGGAAGAAATAATAGAAGGCCATCCACTGGCAGAAAAGAATGAATTAATTGGGAAACTGAGGGAGGGACTTTAGAATTATTAAAGGTAAAAATGTGAAACTTTTTAATTTATTTATTTTTCATTACTTTCCTCAGAAATGCATAAATGATCCCTGTTGAAACTTTTCATAAAATTTTAATCTAAAGGAAGATATCCAGGTTTAATACTAAAATGTGGCAAAGACAAATGCCTGAAAGCAGAGTTATACAATAGGAGTTGTCAGAAAACCTAATTGTAAGTGTTGTGAATGACAAAGCCTAGAATAATTAAACTTTGAATTCATAATGTGAGTAAGGATAAGCCATCTGGCAAAATTATTCTGTGTGAAATTCTTAACCTCAAATTGAATAAACTATATCAATATTCTCATAAAGAAACAGCTGAGGTGTTGATAAACCTATTGTTCTTATAGCACTGCTTAGGAAAATTTTGTATGCTGACATCTGTGTGGTGTTGGACACATTTTTAATTGCAGTCATGAAGAGATTAATGTCCTACAGACAGGAATATTTTTGAAGATCTGAAAAGAAATCCTGTATTTGCCTACAGTATTGGTTCTTGTGACAGCTAGGAAGCAGACTGTATTTAGGAAAGAAAAATTCATTTTTATAGTAACATTTTCTCATAATGGAGTAAAATAAAACAGGAAAGCAAACTGATGGTATATTGAAGAGGAACATATTCACATGCGTTGCCTGTACTCCAAGTCTTGTGCCTCTACAGTATTTCATGCTGTGGGATTTAGTTTTCAGGCTCCCTTAAATCCGAAGTGAGTGATTTGAATGCCTAAAAGCACTGAAATCTTAGATAATCAGCATGGTAGTGCAGCTATTTTGCATAGTCATCATAAAGAAGAGAGTCTACACTGGTAGGTATTCTGTGCTTTAGTCTAGCAGGATCTGAGAGCAGGATCTGAGATATGCTGAGATTACACTGGGAGAAAACAGGTCTACAGCAATCTATGTTATTCCCAGCAGTTATAACCCAATCCCATTTCAGAGATTATCACTGCTACTCTTAGTAGCAGAAATGGCAGAATGTACAGTGGCATATGAAGAGTTAAAACAGAACAAAATCCACAGAACATAAAGGTGATTGGAAAGATTCTTCCAGAAGATGAGACAGCTGTGCAATTCTTGTATCAGCCAGTCATGTAGCAACGGAGAAACTCCTTAAGTCATGAAAGCAAATTTTTACAGAGCATGTAAAGAAATTATAAACTGATACAGGAAAAGTACTTTTTCAGAAATTGAAATTCACCTCCTCTGAAAGCATTTTGGTTCTGGAATCTGATGTAGATGCATACACATTCCTTACAGTAATGAAGGAAGGAAAAAAAAAAAAAGATATTCTGCTGTCAAGTTTTACCTGTGTTTTTGAAACCAATATCCTGAGACTTAAAATATTATAGGCTCAAATATAGAAATGAAACAAAAGGAAAAAAAATGTCACCTTTATATAAATAAATAATAAGGCACAATGTTAGCTTGGGTCTCTTCTAAGTTCTGCAAGTTCTGCAATGTGAGGAAGGAGAATAAGATTTAGAGATAAAGGGTCTTTGTATGATTTGCATGATACCCTACTGTTTCTCTTTTTTTTTTTTTTTTTGGCTGCCCAGCTCTCCCTCCACAAAAGAATAAACCTGAGAGGTTTGTTTGTTTGTTTTTTAATGGAAAGAAAACTTGTAGACTTAGTAGCTGATTTTCACCAGACAAACCAGGTGTGTGAAGTGCAAGTATGAAGCCATATGTGAGATGTAGAAAAATGAAAAAATGAGACCAGGAGTTACTGAGTTTTTTTTTTTGTTTGTTTGTTTTTTTTTTTTTTTTTTTTTTTTTTTTGAGAAAATTATACTCTTACCACATTTTTGTTTTCCTGCAATACTGAATCAGAAGAAAGTTCACTTTGTCTGTATGGAAGAAATGAGATATAATGAGGTATAATTTATGGTTGAGGTTTACCCTTCTCCTCTGGGCCAATTACAGGGTTTTAATTATTTTTTTTTTCATTAGAAATTGCAACTTTTATGTAAAATTTAATTTATGTCAGCTATAGTAAATGATGATGGTAATGAAATATATGACAAAACAGAAGTGAAAGCAATATTTTTCTTATATGTCTAAATGGAATATTTTGAATTGACCAAAAATATCATTTTCTATCTCTTTGTTCCATTCCTTCCTCCCTATACGGAGTTGTTTTTAATTTTGTCATTCCCTTCTCATCAATTTTTTAAAATTATGATTTAAACTCAGAATTGAAACATGTCACATTATAATAGCCTTGAAATAAAATATAGTTTTGTCTTTCTTAATCCACTATGTAATTTTGTCACTTCTCCCACTGTGCTGCACTGTAAATACTGCAAAGTAGAACTGAGAAGTATCCAGCTGTATTGAAGCTAGTTTCATGTATAAATCAGAGATAAGGTGATCTCTACTTCAAACAGCACAAAAACATTCATGTAACATATTTATGTTGAATGTAAAAAGATTTAAGTTAAAGGAGGAGAGCTGTTGGTCACTGTGAAAGTGAATACGCTTTAACCAGAAGTGTATTTTTGGTTTTTGTTTTGAACCCTAAAAAAACTTCCATTGGAATAACAAGTAAGTTTTGAAATACTGAAAGTCAACATGTCATTTTCAGAATGCTGAAACAAAATGTTTTGACACTGCCAAAATTTCTTCTCCTCATCATTTTTTCTCTAAAATATTTGTGGAATTTGACCTTATTTGTAACCAAGCTTATCTATGTAAGGCCTAATTACACATATAAATGAATTATTATCCCAGTCCAGTTCAAGACAATAATATCAGAAGAGAAAGAAAGAGTAGTGTATTTAAAGGACAAATCATAGAATGGCTTGGATTGGAAGAGACCTTAAAGATCATCTAGTTCCAACCCCCTTCACTGTGGTCAGAGATGCCACCTATTAAATCGGGTTGCCCATCAGAACTGACCTTGGACACCTTTGAGAGAAACTATGTCAGCTGAATGGAGCAGAAACATGGAGACACATGTTCAGTCGTACTCCTGAGGCTGAAGCATCCTCCAATGACTTACTGCAAATTGGAGAGCATTTCGGTACTGTCAATAACCTCTGCAAGACAATTCTGCACCTGCTGAGCCTGGTACTCCTCTATGCCTTGTCTGGGTGGTTCAGCTGGAGGCTCAGTTCATCCTCCCCTTCAGTGCAGTTTCTGTTGTGCTGAGGGGATCAAGTAGTGTCTCAGTTGTCCGTTAGTAATTTTGCTGCACCCTTGCGTGGGGATGGTTTAGTTGTTATTCAATTAACTTACACTTTGGTCAGGTTAAGGGAAATAGACAAATGATTTTTTTTCAGAATATCCAGAACAGATAATGCATTTTATTACAGGTTTTCTTTCATGCTTTTAATTATTCTTTCATAAATATCTGTCTGTGCTATAAGAATAATATGAATAACCAAAAATGTGTAAGATTGTATAAGAAAGATTATATTTTATCTCTCATTATCTGTCATGCTGTCTCCCTCCTGCAACACTAGTAATCAAAGGGGTACAGCTGTGCTCATGTGTTTCTCTGGTCTTGGTGTATCATGTTAGCTCTCATAGACAATCTCCTCTCTGACATCTTCTAGAGGACTGGGACCTGAAAACTCATTTTGTTCCCTCAACCTGAAGACAACCTGTCTGTCCTCTTAATGAGAATGAGGAGATAATATGGCCACCCTTTTAATGACAATAAATGTTGCTTCCCTTTCTTACTGGCTTTTGACAGAAAGCAGGTGTGGCAGTAATTAGCTGCTTTGAGATTAGCTGCTTGGGGGTGGGGGGGAGGTGCACAACTGCCTTCTATTAGACTTAACAGAAGGTATAGGATACTAGCACAATGTAAAATGCAACTAGTCATTGCAGCATAATGGAGTCCATACCAGGAGTCCATTGGTGTAATTGATAATCCACTGGAGACCTTACCAGGTATTTTTCTCAGATATTTATATAATGAAATCAGTTTAGCATCACTGTCATGGTTTTTACCTGTAATGTGATTAATCTATAATACTTGAAAAAATCCAGAGATCTCAATACACCAAGGTTAAATTAAGTCTCCGGAAATCTATGGGATAGATTTAAACTACTTACAAATCAGCTGAAATCAATACAAATGCACTAGCCAAGAATTTGACCTATAGTTAGAATTCCAGTAAGCAATACTGAATAAAGTCCTTCTCAATTCATAAGTAATGCATTTAATTATCATTATTACAATATAACTTACATCTATTCATAATGAAAAGTGTGTTTGAGAGCCATTCTTTGTGATCTGAAGATTGGCACCATTACAGATGTCTTCAAAATTCTTCAAATGCAAGTTTGTGCCTTTGGTACATACTTGGGTAAACTTCAGTAAACAGATTCCCTCAAGAGCTGCATTTTTCTCTTGGGGATATTCTTACTCTAGCCACCTCTAGTCAGCTACTCCCATAGCTGACTCGAGGAATTACTTTCATTGTGTCTTTTGTGGTAGCTGTGATTAAAATAAACCATTTTATTCACCCTGCTGTGGTCATTAGTGGGAAGGTCAAGGTCACTTATCTGTTTTAGCGTATGTTGGCAGTTACAGAAAAGTTTGTTGTTAAGACTTGACACAGATTGACACTGCTTTTGCCTTCTTGGGAGGAGGAAGGGGGGAATTATTAATGAAAGGGAGACAACTAATTGCTTCTAGCTAATGTATTTAGCTTAATCCTTTTTCAATGATGGTCATGTAAAAGGAGATTTTGATTTGGGCTCACAGAAAATGCGATGATTGGCTATTCAGAGCTGAGAACAACTTTTGTCTAATTTTGTCATGTTCTCCAGATTTTGCAAATAGAAGCTTTGCAGGTTGACAATGGAACATGAATATAAGAACATAAAGCATAATAAAACACAGAAAAAGCTTCACAATTTTATTTTTTTTAAACTGATCTTTTGTACAGAGGTTATTGACATCTAGAACCACTATGTGATCTTTAATAGTCACCCACTGGGAAAAATTAGCATTGTAAATCAAAATAATAA